TGAGGTACTCGTTGTATCGAGATCTTTATACCCTTAGCTAATTTGACTTTGAGCTAGCAATTGGCAGGAGCAACATATTTTTTGGAAGATTTGTTAGTGCAACAATCTTCGACTGATAGAGTGGTCAGAGCTCAGCTAGAGGACTCTTGGATTCAAATCTGAAAGGAGGAAATTTTCCAAGAGCCAAAGGCTGATTGGACCATTGGAGCAGATAGAGGACTTTGAATGAAGGACTGACTAGTGACGCTAGGAAATCCATAGCTGAAGGACTTATTTGATGAGGCTCATCGCACCAGATACACAGTGCATTCAGGCACAACTAAAATGTACAATGACCTGAAGAGACACTTTTGGTGGAGTGGTATGCGTAAGGAGATAGCAGAATATGTTGCTAGATGCTTTACTTGTCAGCAAGTGAAGGCATAACATCAAAAACTAGCAGGAACCCTACAGCCTTTATCCATTCCGGAATGGAAATGGGCGAATATCTCTATGAATTTTATTGTGGGGTTACCAAGGTCGAACAAAGGGAACGATTCTATTTGGTAATAGTTGATCAGTTGATAAAGTCAACACATTTTATACCAATAAAGACAACTTATATGGTGGAGACTTATGCGAGGATATTCATCTGAGAGATTATGAGATTGCATGGAGTTCCAGAGACGATTATATCAGATCGAGGCTCAGTTTTCACTTCGTATTTCTGAAGGAGCTTCCAAAATTCTTTCGGTAGCCAGTTATCATATTCTAGTGTGTTCCACCCACAAAATGATGGACTGACAGAGAGAATCAATAAAGTGTTGGAGGATATATTGTAAGCATGTGTTATCGATTTCCAGAGTAGCTGGGAGGACCATATTTTATTGATTGAATTTGCTTATAACAACAGTTATCAAGCAACTATAGGGATGATACCGTATGAGGCATTATACGTGAGGTCTTGTAGATCGCCTATTTGTTAGATCAAATCACAAAAATGAAGAAAAGACATGATATTGATGAAAATTGATGAATAGAATGTTAGATCAAATCACAAAAATGAAGAAAATACATGATATTGATAAATATTGATGAATAGAATATTAGATCAAATCCCTAAAGATATGAGCATGCTAGCTAGAACTATACGTATTTGTCCACCGCTTGGAAATACTATTACTATTCATACGTACTGTGGTACTATGCATAAATACCATTACTATTCATACATACGGTACTATTCATACATATTGTGGTACTATTCATAAATACCATATTGTTCATACGTACGGTACTATTCATGAGTATTATTACTATTCATACATACTGGGGGTACTATTCATACGTACTATTATTGTTCATACATACGGCACTATTTATAAGTACTGATACTATTCATAGCTATGGGTATTATTTATAAATACTATTAGTATTCATGCATAAGGTACTATTCATATGTACTATTACTATTCATGAGTACGGATGCTAGTCGTAAAGTACTGTTGCTTAGTAAGTACTGCTACTATTCACAAATTAGTTAATACAGTAGAAAGTCGGGGTTGGTAACCCTGACCATTTACTGGACAGTTTGGCCCAATTTTATTTTCTGGAGTTTGTTTGCGCCGTTTTGTGACGTGATCACGGAGTTTGAGGCGCTTGATGTTATACTTACAATCATGAATATGACGAAATACGTATTTGAGTGTCCCATAGGGATTATGACGAATTGAGATCTATTTACTTGTGAGTTAGTACACTGCAAATGAGACTGCGATGATACCTATTTGTCAATCCGCACGATGATGCGATGATACTTATTTTCCGATCCGCACGGTGATGCGATGAGTTGGAAGAAGTTCAGAATGATAATATTATAAACTATTTACCTGAGTATTTGGTGGATGCCAAAAGTGTTTCTACTCATTGTTGAGATACTTTGCTATACGAGTACATGAGATACATATGTTGATGTCTATTATGATGCTTTACTTTCCAGTTATATTTTGATTGCTTAGTTCAGGGTTAATATTTAGTTATTTACACCTAGATCATTTTCCCTGTATCTAATGGAATTAATATTTAGAAACTTACAACTTGAGACGTAGTACGTTGAGCGAAATAATCCAAACAAGGAAACCCTCATGTATATACCGTATGTCTCAGGTAGTAAATAACTAAATATTAACCCTGAACTAAGCAATCAAAATATAACTGGAAAGTAAAGCATCAGCATATGTATCTCGTGTACTCGTATAGCAAAGTATCTCAACAATGAGTAGAAACACTTTTGGCATCCGCCAAATACTCATGTAAATAGTTTATAATATTATCATTCTGAACTTCTTCCAACTCATCGCATCATCACGCGGATCGACAAATAGGTATCATCGCATCATAGTGCGGATCGACAAATAGGTATCATCGCATCATAGTGCGGATCGATAAATAGGTATTATCGCATCATAGTGCGGATCGACAAATAGGTATCATCGCATCACCGTGCGGATCGACAAATATGTATCATCACATCATAGTACAGATCGACAAATAGGTATCATCGCATCATAGTGCGGATCGACAAATAGGTATCATCACATCACCGTGCGGATCGACAAATATGTATCATCGCATCATACTGCGGATCGACAAATAAGTATCATCGCATCACCGTGCGGATCGACAAATATGTATCATCGCATCATTGTACGGATCGACAAATAAGTATCATCGCATCATAGTGCGGATCGACAAATAGGTATCATCGCATCACCGTGCGGATCGACAAATATGTATCATCGCATCATAATGCGGATCGACAAATAGGTATTATCGCATCACTGTGCGGATCGACAAATAGGTATCATCGCAATCTCATTTGCAGTGTACTAACTCACAAGTAAATAGATCTCAATTCGTCATAATCCCCGTGGGATACTCAAATGCGTATTTCGTCATATTCATGACTGTAAGTATAACATCGAGCAGCTCAAACTCCGCGATCGCGTCACAAAACAACGCAAACAAACTCCAGAAAATAAAACTAGGCCAAACTGTCCAGTAAATGGTCAGGGTTACCAACCCCGACTATCTGCTGTAATAACTAATTATGAATAGTAACAGTACTTACTAATAGCAACAGTACTTTACGACTAGTATCCGTACCCATGAATAGTAACAGTACATATGAATAGTACCCCAGTATGTATGAATAGTAATAGTACTCATGAATAGTACCGTACGCATGAACCGTACGGTATTTATGAATAGTACCACATCGCGTACAAATAGTAATAGTACTCATGAATAGTACTATATGTATGAATTGTAATGGTATTTATGCATAGTACCACAATACATATGAATAGTAATAGTACTCATGAATAGTAACGTATGTATGAATAGTAATGATATTTATGCATAGTACCACAATACGTGTGAATAGTAATAGTACTCATGAATAGTGCTGTAGCTATGAACAGTACGGTATTTATGAATAGTATCATACATATGAATAGTGCCATACGTATGAATAGTACTGTATGTATGAATAGTACCATACATATAAACAGTAACAAATATTTCCAGCGGTAGACATGTACGTATGGTTCTAGCTAGCAATATCATGTCTTAAGGAATTTGGTCTTATATTCTATTCATTAATTTTCGTTAATATCAAGTCTTTTCTTCAATCTCATGTATATTCATCAATTTTTATCAGTATCATGTCTTTTCATCAATATCATGTATATTCATCAAGATCAAAATTTACTGGGGATGGGTTTGGAAAGAGATGAACTTGCCTTTATTGATCTCTGAAATTGGAATCCCTATCTGTTCCAGCTTTTCGAATTGCCAAAATCTCCTTCCTCTTTTCCTCTCTCTCTCTCTCTCTCTCTCTCTCTCTCTCTCTCTCTCTCTCTTTCCTCTTTCTCTCTTTGTCCTTCTCTTCGTTGTGCCCAGAACTCTCCCCCCACCCTTTATAACAAAATAATAATAATAATAAATCTAAATGGTTGGTGGCATAGGGTATGGGTTGGTGGCACAGGTAAGTGTATAAATATATATTATATTTTATATTAATTAAAAAAATAGGATTTCGAGGTCCATTTCCAGAAAGCAATGAAAATTTACCCACAACATCGTCTCAACATTCTAAAACCAATGGCGTAATCCTTATGTCTATCTGATCAACATAAAAATTATTAAAAATACAAATATGATAGATGTCAGTAGACGCGATACCGTCTCAAAATAGTATTTCAGTCTCCGTTGTCAAAATATAACGAAACTTTAACCACAGCATGGTCTTGATATTCTAAGATCAATGGCAAAAATTTCGTGTCCATCTGATCAATAGAAAAATTACTAAAAATAAAATAGTATTAATTTTTAGTAGACTCGCGATACCGAGGCTGAAACTGCGAATCGATCTCAAATCGATTCCAATCTGATCCATTCATCCCAAAATGATCACCAATCATAACAAAACTCATTTATTATTATTTATAATAATATTTTCAAAATTTTCGAGGTTTTAAATTCTTCCCCCCTTAAAAGAATTTCGTCCTCGAAATTCCGCAATTATATCTTAGAGATTAATAATATGAGAAAAGCACATTAGGGGAATAATCCAGACAAGGAAACCCTCATATATACATCTCGTACCATTAATCTCTAGATATGAAACAAAAAAATATCTATACTTAACAATCTAGAATGCAAATACTCTCACTTAACCCCTAATTAAGCGAAACTAGTACGCCAAGCACAGATGTTTCTATCGGGCCTACGTCCTAGCCTTCGTCACTACCTCGTTTCCAGGAGGTTTCACTCAGTTCGAGAGGTAGCTAATGTCGCCATTTATCAGGTGATCGAGACGACTATGTTCCAGAAAGACAAGGAAGGAAATGCTAAAGCAGGACAGACCAGGGATAAGGGCAAGGGTAAGAGACCTTTTACCGGACCTGGAGGACCCCAGCAACATGGTAAGGATTTTCAGCATCAGCAGCAAGGATAGTTCAAGAGAAGACCACCGCAGGATCAGAGGAGGCAGCAGCAACACAAATTGCAGGGGACATGCCACAACTGTCAGAAATTTGGGCACAGAGCAGCAGAGTGCCGTAGCGCACCAAGAGGAGGCCAGCAGCAAGGTCGAGGACACGGTCAGCAGCATAATCATGGTCAGGGCCAGCAGCAGCAGCATGGCCGCGCCTACGGTCAGCAGCAGCGGAGGATCGAGGCACCACCTGTCATTCCGAGGATTAAGGGCCAACAGGCCAAATGCGTGCTATCTAGGAGATTACTGAGGCACAGATGGCCCCGTATGCTCCACCACCAGCAGTTCAACAGTTACCAGCCACCGACAGGATTTATACGGTCATAGCACATGATCAAGGTGCGAGCGGAGCCATAGTGGAAGGTATCTTTCTTGTGAATTCCTTTCCGGCTCGGATCTTATTCGATTCTGGAGCTTCGCATTCTTTTATTTCTCATACCTTTATGGATAGGCTTTAGTTAGTTGCACATCATTTAGACGTACCACTATCCATCTCTACTCCTCTAGGGGAGATATCCATATTAGAGAGTATCTGTAGGAGCTGTGTTATCAGTTTAGATGAGTCCGAGTTTCTCATAGATCTAATCGTGTTGCGGATGTCGGAGTTCGACGTCATTCTCGGTATGGATTGGCTTTCATCCTACCATGTCAGTATTGACTGTTTCGCTAAGACAGTCAACTTGCAAGCGTCCAATGGGTCTGAGTTGATCGTAGCGACTTCACAGGGAAACCAGTTTGCGGAGTCTCTTCTGGCATATGTTGAGGAGGTGATGCTGAGGGACCAGAGTGCTGATTTGTGTGAGGCTAGAGTTGTCTCGGATTATCAGGATGTCTTCCAGGACATACCTGGATTACCTCCTATGAGAGAGGTTGAGTTCTACATCGAGTTGCAGCCGGGCACAACACCGATATCCCGAGCACCCTATCGTATGGCACCTGCTGAGATGAGGGAGCTACAGACCCAGTTGGATGAACCCTATCGTATGGCACCTGCTGAGATGAGGGAGCTACAGACCCAGTTGGATGAGTTGTTATCTCAGGGCTTTATTCTGAGATGAGGGAGCTACAGACCCAGTTGGATGAGTTGTTATCTCAGGGCTTTATTCGTCGGAGTCATTCTTCGTGGGGAGCATCGGTCCTTTTCGTGAAGAAGAAGGACGGTAGTATGCGATTATGTATCTATTATCGTGAGTTGAACAAGGTCACCATCCGGAATAAGTACCCATTACTGAGGATTGATGACTTGTTCGACTAGCTACAGGGAGCGCAATATTTCTTGAAGATTGATCTTCGTTCTGGTTATCATCAGTTGCGGGTCCGGGGGATGGATATTCCCAAGACCGTCTTTCTAACTCGATATGGGTCCTTCGAATTTCTCGTCATGCCATTTGGGCTGACCAATGCACCGGCAGTATTCATGGATTTGATGAACCGGGTTTTTCGTCCATACTTGGACCAGTTCGTGATTGTACTTATCGACGATATCCTTATTTATTCGAGATCGGAGGCAAAGCACGAGCAACATATACGATTGGTATTGCAGACTTTACAGGAGCATCAGTTATATGCCAAGTTCAGCAAGTGCGAATTTTGGCTATCAGATGTTAGATTTTTAGGCCACGTCATCAGCAGAGAGGGCATTGCAGTAGATCCAGTGAAGGTTGAGACAGTACTAAAATGGGAGCCGCAAAAAACCGTCACAGAGATCCGTAGTTTCTTGGGCTTAGCAGGCTATTACAGGAAGTTCATTCAGGACTTCTCAAAGATTGCCACACCACTTACACGCCTTACAAAGAAGGGTGTACAATTTATTTGGGGCATGGAGTGCCAGAAGTCCTTTGAGACCTTGAAGACCAAGTTAACTACAGCACCGGTTTTGACTATTCCGAGCAGTGATAGGACATTTGTTGTCTACACAGATACGTCACTAGCGGGCATAGGAGGCGTTTTAATGTAGACCCAGAGAGTAGTAGCTTATGCCTCTCGACAGTTAAGGACGCATGAGCAGAACTATCCCACGCACGACTTGGAGTTAGCAGCAGTGGTCTTCACACTGAAGACATGGAGACATTACCTGTATGGGGTGCAGTTCGAGTTATTCACAGACCACCAGAGTCTAAAATACTTATTTTCTCAAAAGGAACTCAACCAAAGGCAGCGGCGATGGGTCGAGTTTATCAAGGATTACGAGTTCACGATTTAGTATCATCCGGGGAAGGCGAACGCCGTGGCTGACGCTTTGAGCAGGAAGCATCGTCATCGGGTTGTGTCTTTGAGGTGTTCGTTGTACCGAGATCTTTACACTCTTAGCCAGTTTGATTTCAGGCCAGAGATCGGTGGGAGCAATGCATTTTTGGGAGTTATGTCAGTACAATCATCTTGGAGCAATAGAGTGGTCGAAGCCCAGCTAGTGGATTCTTGGATTCAAACCCAAAAGAGGAGATTTCCAAGGAGCCTAAAGATGATTGGATCATTGGAGTAGACGGAGGCCTTCGAATGAAAGGCGGATTAGTTATGCCAGCTAGTGCAGAGCTGAAGAAGGAGTTGCTTGATGAGACGCATCGTTCTAAGTACACAGTGCATCTAGGCACAACAAAGATGTACAAGGACTTGAAGAGACACTTTTGGTGGAGCGGTATGCGTAAGGAGATAGCAGAATATGTTGCTAGATGCTTTACCTGTCAGCAGGTGAAGGCAGAACATCAGCGACCAGCAGGAACCCCACAGCCTTTACCTATTCTGGAATGGAAATGGACAAGTATCTCTATGGATTTCATTGTGGGGTTACCAAGGTCAAAGAAAGGGAACGATTCCGTTTGGGTGATAGTTGATCGGTTGACGAAGTCAGCGCATTTTATACCAGTGAGGACTACCTACACCGCCGAGACTTATGCGAGGATCTTCATTCGGGAGATAGTTCGACTACACGGAGTTCCAGAGATGATCGTGTCGGATCGAGGCTCAATTTTCACTTCGCATTTTTGGAGGAACTTTCAGGATTTGCTCGGCAGCAAATTATCATACAGCAGTGTATTTCAACCGCAAACAGATGGGCAGATGGAGAGAGTAAACCAAGTCTTGGAGGACATGTTGCGGGCTTGCATTTTAGACTTCCTAGGCAGCTGGGAGGACCACATACCTTTGATCAATTTTGCTTATAACAACAGTTATCAAGTGACGATTGGTATGGCTCCATATGAGGCATTGTACGGAAGACCCTGTAGATCCCCGATTTGTTGGGCAGAGCCGGAGGATAGCTTATTACTTGGGCCAGAGCTAGTGAGGCAGACTACTGAGAAGGTAGCATTGATTAGGGAGTGTATACTTGCCGCTCAGAGTCGGCAGAAGAGCTACGCAGATCAAAGACGACGACTTTTGGAGTTTCATGTTGGAGATTTTGTTATGTTAAAAGTATCACCAATGAAGAGCGTTCAGCGATTCAGCAGACGAGGAAAGCTTACCCCGAGATATGTTGGACCATTCCGAATTACCGAGCGTGTTGGAGCGGTTTCATATAGACTAGATCTTCTAGTGTCGATATCAAGTGTGCACGATGTATTTCATGTGTCGATGCTTAAGAAGCACCTACGCGACGAGGAGCAGCAGAGGGTGATCGATACACCTGAGATTGAGATTCAGACAGATTTGTCCACCATTGAGGTGCCAGTATGCATCCTTGCTAGAGAGGAAAAAAGATTAAGAAATAAGGTGATTCCTTTAGTTAAAGTTCAATGGAACTTGAAAGGAGTTGAGGAGGCTTCTTGGGAGCGCGAAGAGGATATGCATCGCGACTACCCACACCTGTTTGAGCAGGTAAATTGATTGATTATGACTTGTTTGTATTTATGATTATTTATATGATTATATTTATATTTAATGCTAGAATGAGGGTATTAACACTTAGTTCCTAATCATTCGGAACACATGGTATATATATAGGGGGTTCCTTGTTTGGATTTTTCTCCCGACGTACTAGTTTCTCTTAGTTAGGGGTTAAGTGAGAGTATTTATATTCTAGACTGTTAAGTATAGATATTTTTTTCATATCTAGAGATTAATAGTACGAGATATGTATGTGAGGATTTTCTTGTCTGGATTATTCCCTCAACGTACTTTTCTCTCTAAGATACGATTGTGGAATTTCGAGGACGAAATTCTTTTAAGGGGGGAAGAATGTGAAACCCTGAAAATTTTAAAAACATTATTATAAATGATAATAAATATATTTTATTATGATTGATGATTATTCTGGGATGAATGGATCAGATTAGAATCGATTTGAGATTGATTCATAGTTTCAGCCTCGGTATCGCGTGTCTACTGACATCTATCACATTTGTATTTTTTATAATTTTTATATTGATCTTATGGACATGAGGTTTACACTATTGATCTTAGAATGGCGAGACGGTGCTATGGGTAAATTTTCGTTGATTTCTGAGAACGGAGTCTAGAATCCTATTTTTTTAAATATAAAATATTATATTATATATTTTTTCTTTCTTTTTCCTATGCCACCTAACCCCCTCTCACCTACCCCTCATCTCATTCCTATAAAAAGGGGCCCTCCCCTTACGTTTTCTTCACACAACGCATAGTGAAGAGAAGAAGAGAGAGAAAGAGAAGGAGGAAGAGAGAGAGAGAGAGAGAAAGAGAGAGAGAGAGAAACAAAGAGGAAGAAAAGAGAGGAAAAGAGGGAAGGGATTTTAGCAATTCGAAAAAACAGGAACGGATAGGGATTCCAATTTCAGAGATCAATAAAGGCAAGTTCATCTCTTTCCAAACTCATCCCCTGTAAATTTTGATCTTGATAAAAATTGATGAATATACATGATATTGATGAAAAGACATGATATTGATGAAAATACATGATATTGACGAAAATTGATTAATAGGATATAAGACCAAATTCCTAAAGACATGATATTGCTAGCTAGAACTATACATACATGTGTACCGTCGGAAATACGGTACTATTCATATATACGAGTACTATTCATAAGTACTATTACTATTCATACGTACGTGTACTATTCATAAGTACGGTTACTATTCATATGTATGTGTATTATTTCATTAATATGGCACTATTCATATGTTCGAGTACTATTCATAAGTACTATTACTATTCATACGTATGTATACTATTCATAAGTACGGTTACTATTCATGTGTGTGTACTATTTCATC